AAGGGCTTTCTCAATTACTCTAGCCTTCTTAACAGATATGGCCACGAATATCATTGCTAACGACCAGACATTGGAAGCGCATCAATCACAGGGATCTCATTGAATAAATATGCCTTTTTTTTTCCCTAATCACACACTTAACTTAGATTGGTTTATTAAAATTTTTAACCAGTGTGCATAAATAAATGCTGTATTGAATTCAATTGCCTGAAGAGCTCTGTTCCCCATTGACTTGACCATGGAAGAATCGTTGTAACATTGTAATACAAGATACTGGTTAATAAAAATTATTGTTATTATTATTTCCTTTGATTTCTGGCATTTACACATTTCTTTCCGGGTCTCGCCCAGGGACCTAAGGTTAGAGATGGCATCATGACACTTTCCACTGACAAAAAAAAAAAATTACATAGACAAAGCCCTTTGTAAAGTGTGGGCTGTACTTGTCAGAATAATTTTTTGTATCTCTTTGAGGCATGAACTTCCAGGAATCCCTTCGATTATTATTATTATTATTGTATAGTATATGTATAATTTGTATTAAATTAGTTTTCATTTAAAAATAAAGCTTAATTATATAATATTTCTTTGATTATTAAAACCTCAAAATTTTTATTAGTGAAAAGTAGAATATTGTTGTTTTATGTCAAATAGCTATTAAGGGGTCCACCAAGAAAAAAAAAGAAGGGAAAAGTGGTCCACCAAGAAAAAAAAAGAAGAAAGGAAAAGTGGTCCACCAAAACAAAAAGGAGGGAAAAATGGTCCACCAATAAAAAAAGGAAGGAAAAGTGGTCCACCATGAAAAAAAATGAGGGAAAAGTGGTCCACCATGAAAAAAAGGGGGGAAAGTGGTCCACCAAGAAAAAAGTAGGGAAAAGTGGTCCACCAAGAAAAAAAAGAAGGAAAAATGGGTTCATGAGTAAAAAAAAGGTTGGGAACCACTGGTCTATGCAGACAAGGTGGAATGTAAAAGTGATGAAAACAAATGTACAGGGAAACTGAATTGGTTAGGCTGCATATCCAGATCCTGCCTAGAAAACTCACTTTTTATATCTTCTATCTCCAGGGTGGGTATATCTTATGCCCAAAACACCCAACCCATGGCACATTTTTTGGAGTCCTGTTGTGGCCCCTGCTATTTTTGTTCAGCACTCTTTTCTGCCCATCCACTATTTTTAAAAAATTTTTTTAGACTGACATTACATTGTCAGTCATCAACTAGTATATATATATATCTGTATGTCCAGGAACCCCAACGAAGTTCGAGTCCTAAAAAGGGCTAATTTCAGCTGAGTATTTTTGCTTTTTATACTTCTTACTTTTTTCTACCTAAGTTATATTATCAATTATCAACGATAATAATCGACAGGGCCAGAGATTACAAACCCCAAAATTCTTGACCCCATGGAGGCACCATCTCTAATGTTTTTTTTTTACTAATAGTAATACTAAACAGAAGTCCATGGCTAGTAATTAAAATAAAATTGCTAATCTCTATTTTTTTTACATTTCTAGAGAGATAAAATTGAGAAAATGATCACTTAAAAGTTAAAAATGTTTAAATATTTCAATACATGAAAAATTTTCCCAAAAATGAAATACTGTTTTTAAAGCAAATTTTTAAGACAATTTAATTTGCGTTATGTTAAAATCTTTGTAAAACATTTTTCAGTCAAGAAGCATCGACAATTAATCTTTATGGAAATGTAAAAACTTGTGAATTAAAAATTTTTACAAGTAAAATTTAGTCATGAAAATATTGGTAGTTATTACAAAAAGAATAACATTTTCACAAATATTTTTAAATAAAAACAGGTATTTGTTATAAAAATAAGTAATGAATGAATATGTATTGAAGTTTCCGTTTAAATTGGATAATTCATTGATTTTTGGTAATTTAAAAAAACCACTGCCCTTCCCCGCAATGCTTTTTCGAGTGTCTGTGGCCATCAATCTCATTCTGTTTCTTTCTTTCTTTGTATCTATCTATCTATCTATCTATCTATCTATCTATCTCATTCTGATCATGTCTCTGTTATTCTATCTATCTATCTATCTATCTATCTATCTATCTATCTATCTATCTATCTATCTATCTATCTATCTCATTCTGATCAGGTCTCTCTTATTCTATCTATCTATCTATCTATCTATCTATCTATCTATCTATCTCATTCTGATCATGTCTCTGTTATTCTATCTATCTATCTATCTATCTATCTATCTATCTATCTATCTCATTCTGATCAGGTCTCTCTTATTCTATCTATCTATCTATCTATCTATCTATCTATTTATCTATCTCATTCTGATCATGTCTCTCTTATTCTATCTATCTATCTATCTATCTATCTATCTCATTCTGATCAGGTCTCTCTTATTCTATCTATCTATCTATCTATCTCATTCTGATCAGGTCTCTCTTATTCTATCTATCTATCTATCTATCTATCTATCTATCTATCTATCTATCTCATTCTTTTCCTATCTCCTATCTATCTTTATATATATTCAATGGATTTTTTATCTGACATTATTTCTTGGTACTATAAACATTATTTTTAGTTGGTATATATGTATATGTGAATCACTCTCTCCCTCTCTCTCTCTCTCTCTCTCTCTCTCTATATATATATATATATATATATATATATATATGTATGCACATTTCACTGAATACAACAGAGAAGGTGCATTGATTTAGTTTCTTATACAATTTCTCATGTGATCTAATAATTTTTTCTATTCAAATAATAAATTATATAAGAACTGTCTGAATGTTCTTTTTATTCGAGCGCTTCCAGCTATACATTTAGCCATTTTCAAGGATGAAATATATTAACTGTTAACAAGAAATAGTTTGTTGTATACATTCATTTGATTTTTTATAAAAGATATTAATGTTATTATTTATGTTTCTAGTCTCATGTTTGCTATTAGAATTAAGAATATTGAATGAAAGACGGATTGCTGCTTAAATATACAAATTATATATATATATATATATATATATATATATATATATATATATATACAATTCATTTGAAAATTATAACATAAATATGTTATAAAATCATTACAAAAATAGCCATTTTGTTTCAACACTTCTGGTATCTTATCAAGTGATGGTGTTGAATGTAGAATAAAGAGTTTCCTTTATTCTTTATAAATTCTAATAACTAAAAAATGCAATTCTTAAAAGAGTGCTAAATAAAGCAAATATAATCTATATAATTTTACATTCAACATCATCACTTGATAAGACACTTGAAATGGCTATTTTGTAGTGATTTTTATAACATATTTATGCTATATTTTTTTACTAATAATAATACATATATAAATATATATATATATATATATATATATATACATATTTAGGCAGCAATTTTTCATTAATGCATGTTTCATTAAATAATATAGACAAGTTTTGTTTATTTATTTTAAGTAAGTTCCTTTCATATTGTCTGATAAGCTTAATCGCATTATCATTGAAAGAAGAAAGGAAATTTATAATTTATAACAGAAGCCATTGGTTTATACCAATGGCTTCACATACTTAATACTTTTTGTTTTTCACTCTCACGTAGTCATGTGTGACGTCATGAGCTGCGATGTGATTTTCGCTTCTGCGTCTCGTATATACGAGTTTGTCGTTACTTTGAAATTTTCAAGCAGCAAGGGTGGACTATTATTGTGGCTTCATCTGTGTGCTGTTTGATTTATTGAAATTGTCATCTTTGATAATGGCTTGTGTAAGCTGAAAGCTTAGATTGGATTTAAACATGTATCAATATGGTGATTTCCTTTTGTCTTTCAACGATAATGTGATTAAGCTTATCAGACAATATGAAAGGAACTTACTTAAAATAAATAGACAAAACTTGTCTATATTATTTAATGAAACATGCATTAATATATATATATATATATATATATATATATGAATAAAGACAAAAGAAAAACATTTTTCTTTACTGACACGTTTAATCCTCTGATGGTCTTTACGAAAACAAAGGTAAAAAAATAAAAATAAAAAACCTTATATTTGCCTTGATATAAGTTTACCAGAGTATGAAATGTGTTGTTAATTGACCATTTTCATTTTGTCTTTATTCATATTGTTTTTTTTTGCATGAAAGAAGGATTGCTGCCTTAAATACACAAATTATATTTATATGTATATATAATTCATTTGAAAATAATATAAATATGTTTTAAAATCACTACAAAAATAGCCATTTTGTTTCAACACTTCTGGTGTCTTATCAAGTGATGGGGTTGGATGTAGAAGAAAGAGTTTCCTTTATTCTTTATAAATTCCAATAACCAAAAAATACTATTCTTAAAAGAGTGCTCAATACAGAGTAGAGCAAATATAATCTATATAAATTTTACATTCAACACCATCACTTGATAAGACACTTGAAGTGTTGAAACAAAATGGCTATTTTTGTAGTGATTTTATAACATATATATGTTATAATTTTTTAATAATTTATATATATATATATATATATATATATATATATATATATATATGAATAAAGACAAAAGGAAAACATTTTTCTTTACTGACACATTTCATCCTCTGATAGTCTTTATGAAAACAAAGGTAAAAAAAATAAAATAAAAAAACCTTACATTTGCCTTGATATAGTCCACCAGAGTACGAAATGTGTTGGTAATTGACCATTTTCATTTTGTCTATATTCATATTGTCTTTTTACAGATATATCTTTATTTATATCTGAATTTTTACACATATATATGCATGTATCTATGCATGTATGTACACACAAATAAAGAAATGCTCTCTGGCTAGTTGCATGATAACACTCAACATCAACGTAAACAAAGGAAGCACTTCAAGGACTATTTAAATAGAGTCCTTTGCATCCTGCTATATAGAAGATCCTGAGTGGGAAACTGCTGCTTGTCATCAAAATAAGTGGATGTATACAATTCATGAAGACACTAAGATCTTCCCAAAGCATGCATTACAAGTGGACAGCCATGATAGATAGATGGGTGTGAAATGGGAAATAGATAGGTAGATAAACAAACTGACATGTAAGAAACAGATGCAGATAGATAGATAGATAGATAGATAGATAGATAGATAGATAGATAGATAGATAGAAGTGAACAGTGAAATAGATAGATAGAAGTGAACAGTGAAATAGATAGATAGATGTGAACAGTAAAATAGATAGATAGATAGATAGATGTGAAAAGTGAAAGAGACAGGTGTGAATAGTGAAATAAATAGATAGATAGATAGATAGATAGATAGATAGATAGATAATGTGAACAGTGAAATAGATAGATAGATAGATAGATGTGAACAGTGAAATAGATAGATAGATAGATAGATAGATGTGAACAGTGAAATAGATAGATAGATAGATAGATAATGTGAACAGTGAAATAGATGTGAATAGTGAAATAGATAGATAGATAGATAGATAGATAATGTGAACAGTGAAATAGATAGATAGATAGATAGATAGATAATGTGAACAGTGAAATAGATGTGAACAGTGAAATAGATAGATAGATAGATAGATAGATAGATAGATAATGTGAACAGTGAAATAGATAGATAGATAGATAGATAGATAATGTGAACAGTGAAATAGATGTGAATAGTGAAATAGATAGATAGATAGATAGATAATGTGAACAGTGAAATAGATAGATAGATAGATAGATAGAAGTGAACAGTGAAATAGATAGATAGATGTGAACAGTAAAATAGATAGATAGATAGATAGATGTGAACAGTGAAATAGATATAGATAGATCTGAACTGTGAAATGCGTAGATAGATAGCTGGCCACTCGTATTCGAGGATACCCATCTACTAGAATGGCAAGCCAATCCCTATTGCAGATGCTCGCTCAGGCACATTCATGTTTGCCCAACACCACAGAGCCAACCTGTGTTTTATACTGCAACTATGCTAAGCAGACTTTAGTTACAGTTTCTGTGAGAAAGCATGTTATCTAGTGTGATCAACAATTTGAACAAGGCCAGCATGCTCAAGCCCTCAGCCATGATGTCTTGTGGCTTTCCCAAGTGTCCAGTCTATCCAGTTTCACACACAAGGCTTGGGTCAACGTGTGGTATGGTTTTAAAGCAACTTTCCAAAGGTGCTGCATGCTGGGATTGACCCCTCCAGATTGACAACATCAGGAAGTCTCCTTCCTGTCAAATCAACCATGGTGAGATTCAAACCTGGTTTCATGGTCACAAACGAATATTCTACCCACTTAGCCATGCACCAATATATATATATATATATATATATATATGGCCTGACGATTGCATATAGCATGAAACAGACTGTCGCCTCTAAGTGTTGACTTCTATGTTCACTTTTATATATATATATATATAGATATATATATATATATTGATATACACGAGTTAGTCGTTGCTTTGAAATTTTTCATGCAACAAAAATCATTATTGTTTCATCTGTGTATTGGTTGATATATTGAAAAGTAATTGTCATCTTTGATAATGGCTTATGTAAGCCAAGAGCTTAGATTGGATTTAAACATGTATCAATATGGTGATTTCCTTTCGTCTTTCAATGATAATGTTATTAAGCTTATTAGACAATATGAAACGAATTTGCTTAAAATAAATAGACAAAACTTGTCTATATTATTTAATGAAACATGCATCAATGAAAAATTGCTGCCTAAATATACGCACACACACACACACATATATATATATATATATATATATATATATATATATATATTTATACACTAGCATGGCCCAGCGTTGCCTGTGCTTGATTCAAAAATCATATGACTCATACAGCAATCGCTATCACTTGACTTAAAATTTTTTTGCCCTTCCTTGCCTTTAAAGGAGTGCCCTTTGCCGTGCCAATGTTGCTACATGCCTTACTTATTTCCTATCTCACACTGCGAATTTTCTCTAAGCTCTATACTAAACATTAAATCTGTTACGAAAAAAAGAACCAAACAAAATGAACACAAAATGATCAGCTTTAAAAAAGGACTCGTAACTGGAAAAACCGAATGAAAAAAGCGAATGAGCCAATTGGAGTAAAGTGCCATGCAGATTTAAATTTTTCCCACTTGTAGCTATCTATTTTTTTTGCGTGCTAGCATGCTAGTTAACATTCATGTCAGTCAGCTGTTGGCTCTCATGCTGTTCAATAGAATCTTCCTGCCTATTCGTGGCAGCCAGCTATAGCCTCTCACTCTGGCCGGTAGAAAATGGCCACAAACTACATGAAAACTGCCGTAGAAGCATGAAAAAATCAAATATTTCCACTATCGATGGGAGTTGGGAAATGCAAAGTCAGTCTTGGCCGTCCCGCTAACTTGGAGCATGTGCATGTAAATTTTGGTGCAAATCCGTCGAAAATTGCGGCCGTGCATTCGTTACACACACACATCCTGCCTTTTATAGATAGAGATGTATGTATTGTCATCCACAGTCAGACTGTTTTGCTGTATCACAGCTCATCAGTGTGGCTAGACATCTGATTGCCTCAAGCCGGGATTGAAACCTGACTGATTTTTACGTAAATATTCTTCCAATAAACATGCCAATGACCAAGAGGGCTCAATTCATGGAAGAACTTTTTATATATATATATATATATATATATATATATATATATATATATACACACACACACACACACAGCCTTAAAAAATTAAAAATAATAGCAATTTTTACCTGTTATAGTCTTACACAGACCATATCATACATATATGCGTGCGTGCGAGTAAATATTATTCAGCGAACAAAAATAGAAAAACGGTTTGCACATTGACAGTGCAACAGGCAAGGAAATATTTGCTACACAGTCCAACATTGAATACACCGACCAAATGCATATACATGTGTGCAACGACACATATATGAGCATATATGCCCAATCCCAGACTGTTCACACATGTTTATGTTTGTGTGAGCTCCGGTGAGTGAGCATGTGTGCGTGTGTGTGTCTGCATATGTCAATGAATGTACGTGCATGTATGTATGTTTGCATAAGTGTGAGTGGCATCCCGACAACAATTTTTCCTCCCACCTCCGTATAAAACACCGATATTTGCAACCATATATAAATCCGAAACATAAAACTTAATCAGTTTGTCTGACGATCACAAATAGCGTGAAACCCAGGGTCACAGACTCACATCAATCCACCTAAATATATGCTGATATATATATATATATATATATATATATATATATATATATATATATATATATATATATATATGTGTGTGTGTGTGTGTATATATATATATATATATATATATATATATATATATATATATATATATATATATATATATATATATATATATATATGTGTGTGTGTGTGCATCTGTGTGTGTGTGTATAGAATTAATAGAAGTAAAGGTTTTCATTTAATTGATTGATGCTACCTTCAGCATTGTGATAGATAGATAAATGTGAAATAGATAGATAGTTATATGAAAGCACTTTGTCCAGTAATGGATGGATAATGGCTTCTGTTGATGGGACATGTATGACAGCTTACACCTTGTTTTTGAGTCTGACCATCACAAGCCATGGTGAAATGCTAAATTTCCAGAAACCGGTTCTATAAAGGTAAGTAATCTTTAGGAACCTATTCTGCTTATTTTCTTTACAATTTGAAGACTGGTTTAGTTTGGTTTTGTTTTGTTTTATAGCATGTCTACCTCAATGGGTTATTTAATGCCAACAATTTTTATTGCTGGTAATATTTTTTCCTTCAAAAAAATCTATTTTTGGTAATATTTTTTCTTCAAAATGTATCTCTGGTAATATTTTTTTCTAAAAAATGTATAGCTGGTAATATTTTTTTTCAAAAATATATTGCTGGTAATAATGTATTGCTGGTAGAAATTTTTCTTCAAAAATTTATTGCTGGTAATAATTTTTACAAAGTATTTCTGTTATTAAAATCTATTTTTACACTTTCATAGTGTTTTGACCCCAGTTTGGGGGTTAACTATTTACCCATAGCTGGGACCCTAACAGGTGCTACCACCCAGAGTGAGTGTGGAACTAGGAACATCAGCAATTAAGAGGTGGTTACTCAAAGCCTCCTGATGTGAGGCCTTGTTTTCGGACGTAGTTTATCATCGTACCCAGGATGTGGATGTAGTTTATCATCATACACAGGACGGATGGAGCCTGTAATGAAAAGCAAATGCCATAGGAGCTTTACTTGAAGCTTTATTCAAATATAAATCTGGCAACAAACAGGGCAGAGTTTATTCTTTTATAGCTGGTTCAGTGGGAAACAACTGTGGCTGACTTCCACCACAGAAGCAAATCTCTTTATAGTATCAAAAAGAATTAAACCATTTTGATAATTTAATAGAAGACATTTATTTATTAGAATATTTCCAGACTGAAATTCTGTTCTCATCATATTTCTGTTCAGAAGTATTATGCTTTTTTTTTACTCTAGTGTCATCAGCTGTGTTGATTTCTTAGCCATATTTGAACTGAATCACTGCAGTCCCGAAGATCCAATGGACGACATATCATATTTATGACTAGAAGATTTGCCACATTTTTAACTTGAAAACAGTCTGGGAGGGGTGTCTATTAGAGTTTTATGAGGTGCATACAGAAGCATAACATAATTAATATTTTATCTAGACCATTGGCTATTAATATATAAGATTATTTTCAGATAATCCAACAACTGGTTCGCTAAGCTTCTATTATTTTAAGAATCAGTTCCTATGAACCAGTAGGATGCCATCACTGATCACAAGATACTGTAAGACTTAGGTGAACAGATATGGCTTTAAACAGATATAGCTCTTTATGTTGAACATGGAGCCTTAAACCTAATGTTATTGTTGTCTGCCTGCTGCTGCTGTTTATCCGGGGGGTTGGAGGCTCATTGAAGATAGGGCAAGCAATAACTGAGCAGTTAAAACAAAACTCTTTTATGAAAGGCAAAAGTACTCAGACATTGAACAATTTATATTTAAATATGTGCAAAATACTGGTAAAAAGGTTGACAAATATAGGAAAAATGAATATAATAAAATCCTTCACAATAAACCCTTTGTTTGTATGTGTATAGAAATAAAATGATGGCACATTTAAAAGTTTGGGGCCCAACTAAGAAGAGAAAAAAATATTCTGACACTTGGTCATTTGGTCCTAAATTTGAAAGTGAATCAGGTTAAGATGTTCTCTTTTTATCATGATGACTGCCATCTTGTTGTTGACTATAACCATCAAAAGATATCATTGTAAGACTTGGGATTTGAACAGATATCTCTCTTTAATATCTATAAAACGCAGGATGTGTGTGTGTGTGTGTGTGTGTAATGAATGCACGGCCGCAATTTTCGATGGATTTGCACCAAAATTTACATGCACATGCTCCAAGTTAGTGGAAAAGCCAAGACCAACTTTGCATTTCCCAACTCCCATCGATAGTGGAAATAATCAATTTTTTCATGCTTCTATGGCACTTTTCATGTAGTTTGTGGCCATTTTCTACTGGCCACAGTGAGAGCCTATAGCTGGCTGCCACGAATAGGCAGGAAGATTCTACTGGTCAGCATGAGAGCCAACAGCTGACTGACATGAATGTTAACTAGCATGCAAAAAAAATAGATAGCTGCATTTGTCACAAGTGGGAAAAATTTAAATCTGCATGGCACTTTATTTCAATTGGCTCGTTCGCTTGCTTAAACTCAACGTTGATTCTGATTCCGCAGAACTGGGTTGGGTGTGAAAAGGTATTTGTTGTTAACATTCT